GGGGCCCCCCGGGGGGCCCCCAGGGGGGCCCCCCTGTTAAGGCCCTTGAGGGGGAGAAAGGAAAGCTGCTGCTGCTGTATTACCTGCGTGCGCATGCATTGCTTGGCGAGAGCAGATCAACAGCAGCAGCAGAAGCGCAGCAGCAAGCAGCAAGCAGCAGCAGCAGCGGCAGCAACGCGCCCCTGGGGCCCCTGTGGGGTGATGATGCTGCTGTGTCTCCTCTGCAGCCGTTCGTGAGTGCAGCAGCAACAGAAGCAGCAGCAACAGCAGCAAGAACAGCAGCACCAACTGCAGCAGCAGCAGCAGCAGCAACTGCAGCAGCAGAAGATGAAGGAGACGAAGGTGAAGACACCCCATACCACAGCAGGCTGTCTGCGGAGGCGGGGGAATACGTGCTGCAGCAGCTGCTGCTGCTGCAGCAGCAGCAGCAGCAAGATTGCTCCTCTGCTGCTGCTGCTGCTGCTGCTGCAGCAGCAACAGCAGCAACAGCAGAACGATGGAGACAGTTGAATCGCATCGACCTGATGTGAGTTGCTGTCTCTCTCTGCTGCTGCAGTGTCTCCTCCTGTGTAGCTGCTGAGGGGACAAGCTGCTGCTGCTTGCTGCTGCTTCTTGCTGCTGCTTCTTGCTGCTGCTTCTTGCTGCTGCTTCTTGCTGCTGCTTCTTGCTGCTGCTTCCTGCTGCTGCTTCTTGCTGCTGCTTCCTGCTGCTGCTTCTTGCTGCTGCTTCTTGCTGCTGCTTCTTGCTGCTGCTTCTTGCTGCTGCATCTTGCTGCTGCATCTTGCTGCTGCTGCTTTCTCGTGTGTGCCTGTGGGGCCCCGCAGACAAAAGGAGGCACTCAAACGCTCGCTGCTGCAGCAGGCGCTGCAGGCTGGAGCAGCAGCAGCTGTCTATGCAGTGCAGGGGCCCCACAGCAGCAAAGAGGAGAAACAGAAGAAGCAGCAGCAGCCCCATAAACCCCTCAGTGCATTCTACCGCCGGGGGTTGCTGCGACTACAGCAACAGCTGCGACAGCTGCAGCAGCAACAGCAGCAGCAGCAGAAACAGCAGCAGCAGCAGCAACAGCAGCAGCAGCAGCAACAGCAGCAGCAGCAGCAACAGCAGCAGCAGCAGCAACAGCAGCAAGGAAACATAGCAGCAGCAGATACACTTGCGCTGCAAGTTAGGTACGCCCCCCCCGCCTGTACTGCTGCCTCTCCTCTCTCTCTCTCTTCTGCTTCGCTGCACAGCTCCAGATACTCTTGGCTAGCTAGCTAGCTAGCTAGCTAGCTAGCTAGCCAGGAGGTTGCTAGCTAGCTAGCTAGCTAGCTAGCTGACGACTAGATGGCTAGCCAGCTCGGGGATGTGAGGCTAGCTAGCTACCTGTGGTGGTTGGTTAGCTAGCTAGCTAGCTAGCCAGCTAGCTAGCTAGCCAGCTAGCTAGCTAGCTGGGGGGGACTGGTGCGCTGCAGCTAGAGGCATAGGGGTCTAGGTTTGCTGCTGTTTGTGGTGCGCTGCAGAGACGAGTTGCTGCTGCCTACAGCAGCAAGTGTGGGTGTTGAGGATGCATGCGCTGCTGTTTCAGNTGCAGAGACGAGTTGCTGCTGCCTACAGCAGCAAGTGTGGGTGTTGAGGATGCATGCGCTGCTGTTTCAGCAGCAGTTGGGGTGTATAGGCAGGTGTTTGAAGAGGAGACAGATGCTGCTGCAGCAGCACAAACAGCAGCAGCAGCAGAAACACGCAGGCTGCTGCTGCAGGCCTGGCGCGTCGCGCTAGGCCTCACAGCAGCAGATGTCTCCCACATGCATGCAGAAGCTTATAGAGTCAGCTTTGTCTTTTGTTTATTTATTTTTTTTTATGTTTTATTTTTTTTCTTTTTCTTCTCTTTCTTTTTATTCTTCTTCTTTTGTCTCTTTTTCTTCTGTCTCTTCTCCTTCTGCTTCTTTTTGTTCTTCTTCTGTCTCTTCTTTTTTTTTCTCTTTTTCTTTTGTCTCTTTTTCTCCTTCTGTCTCTTTTCCTTCTGTCTCTTTTTATTATTCTGTCTCTTTTTCTTTTTTTTTTTTTTTTTCTTGTCTCTTTTTCTTTTTCTTCTGTCTCTTTTTCTCCTTCTGTCTCTTTTTCTTCTGTCTCTTTTTCTGTTTACCTTTCTTTTTTTTCTTTCCCTTTTGTCTTTTCTTCTTTTCTTTCTTTTTTCCGCTTCTATCTCTTCCTTTTCTTTTTCTTTTTTTCTTTTTTTTTGTTCTTCTATGCCATTGTCAGCATACCCTCGCACTGAACATCTGCATGCATGCGCCTGCATGCATCAGCTGTATGCACGTCTTCTGTTGCTGCTGCTGCTGCTGCTGCTGCTGCTGCTGCAGGAGTGGATGCTGCGGGTGACCCGGGAGGCGATTGGCCCCGAAGGCAAGTGGACGCCGCAGGCTGCCAGCACTGTTGCTGCTGCAGCAGCAAAAGTAGACCTCGCACAGGTTAGAGCTAATGCAGCAGCAGCAGCAGCAGCAGCAGCAGCAGCAGCAGCAGCAGCAAGGGTTTACTGCAGCAGCAGCTGCAGCAGCAGCAGCAGCACGGGCATAGAGAAGCAGCAGCAGCAGCAGCAGCAGCAAGCGTCTAGCAGCTGGGCCACATACCTGGATTCTGTTTTCCCCTGAAGCGAACAGCAGCAGTAGCAGCAGCAACAGCAGCAGCAGCAGCAGCAGCAGCAGNCAGCAGCAGCAGCAGCAGCAGCAGCAGGTGTGCGCATGCATATGAATAGTTTTGTGTGTATGTGTGTAGGCGGAGACAGAGGAAATAATAAAAGAGGCCTTCAGCTCTTTTGCTGTTGACGTGCTGCTGCCTCGCTTGCTGCAGGCAGCAACAGAAAAGCAGCGCAGCGAACAGACACACAACAGCAGCAGCAGCAGCAGCAGCAGCAGCAGCAGCAGCAGCAGCAGCAGCAGTTCTCTCCCTGATGCTATGAAGGCTGTAATAAAAGAGGATACAGCAACTGTAGAGGCCCGTGAGCGTTTGGGGGGCCCCACACAAAGCCCCAATGAGGTCCCCTGGGTGCGCATGCATCGCGCATGCAAACAGCAGCAAGAGGGGCTGACGCTGCTGCAGTCGTGGCTTGCTGCTAACCCTGTAGCAGACAGGGGGCCCCCAGCAGCAGAGAAGGATACCACGGGGGCCCCCAGCAGGGATCTCTCGCTTGTTGGGGCCCCCCAGCAACCACAGCAGCAGCAGCAGCACCAGTCGGCTGCAAAAGACGGTGCTGCAGCGCCTGCTGCTGCTGCTGCTGCTGCGGGGCCCCAGGGCACAGGAGACCCCTCGCTGCAGCTGCTGCAGACACTGGAGGCCCTCTCCCGCTTTGCTGCTGAACACAAGCTGCTGCGCTTTCCCCTCAAAGACAGCAGAACAGGCAGCAGCAGCAGCAGCAGCAGCAGCAGCAGCAAGTTGAAGCTGCTAGAGGAGCGACATAAGACAGGGATAAATGCAACAGCAAAAGCAGCAGCAGCAGCAGCAAAAGCAGCAGCAGCAGCAGCAGGACCCAATCTCCTCTCCCTGCTGCAAACCCTCCCCAACGCAGAGCCAGTAGAGGCATTCGTCAGGGCCTTCGAACGGTAGGGTTTAGGGTTTAGGGTTTATTAGGGTTTATTAGGGTTTAGGGTTTAGGGTTTAGGGTTTTAGGGTTTGGGGTTTAGGGTTATCTACCATGAAGTGATACGCCATATATACCACCTCCTGTTCGCATGCACTGGGTTTCTATCTAGGGTTTAGGGTTTATTAGGGTTTATTAGGGTTTAGGGTTTATTAGGGTTTAGGGTTTTCTTTCTCTCTCTCTCTCTGCGTATCTCTGCTTTGCTGCACAGAGGCACAGGGCCCCCATCGGGCCTCATCCAAATAGCCCTTGAGGAGGCAATGCATGCGGGCTTGATGGGTTTGGGGGCCCCCCAGGGGGCCCCCCTGGGGGCCCCCCCTGGGGGCCCCTTGGGGGTCCCCCAAGGGGGGGCCCCAGGGGCCCCCCTGGCGGAGAGGAGGGCCCCCAGTGCAGCATCTGTGGCTGCTGGTTTGTTTGTAGTGCAGCAGTTGGTGGTGTCAGCAGCAGCAGCAGCAGCAAATATTGCTGCTGATGAAGCAGCAGCAGCGGGAGGTTTATTGAGTATGAGAGGAGACAGCAGCCCGCTAGCAGAGGAGACACTGCTGCAGCAAGCTGTCTCCACTTCTCTTACACAGATAGCCAAGGCCCAGGGAAAAACTCTTATAGATGTACGTGGGGGTTTAGGGTTTATTAGGGTTTATTAGGGTTTATTAGGGTTTGGTAGGGTTTATTAGGGTTTAGGGTTTAGACTGCTGCGAGGGTTTGCTGCTGATACTGCAAGGAGTTGCTGTTGTTGCTGCTGCTGCTGCTGCAACGGGGTGGATTTTGCTGCTAGGGTTTGCTGCTGCTGCTGCTAGGGTTTGCTGCTGCTGCTGCTGCTGCTGCTAGGGTTTGCTGTTGCTGCTGCTGTTGCTGCTAGGGTTTGCTGCTGCTGCTGCTGCTGCTGCTAGGGTTTGCTGCTGCTGCTGCTGCTGCTGCTGCTGCTGCTGGGGTGTGCTGCAGCAGCAGCAGGAGTGTATTTGTTTGTGTTTGTGTTTTTTTTTGCTGTTGCATGCGAACGCAGAGAATATCACTGCAGCAATCCAGGGCAATTGCTGCTGCTCTGTCTCCTCTGGTGTCTCCTTCTCTGTCTCCTTCTTCTCTGTCTCCTTCTTCTCTGTCTCATTTTTCTCTGTCTCCTTTACTGTCTCCGCAGCAGCAGCAACCAACTGTCTCTGCTGCTGTTGAGGAAACACGCAAAAGGCTAAAACAAGTTGCTGCT